CAGTTTGTTCAGGTTTGAAATTATTGAGATTTATGATTTTTATAATTTTATGTTGAATGGGACCTTGGAGATCATTTAGCCCAAGATCTTTGTTGTATTCTCAAATGAGTCCAAAGAAGGAAAGCAAATTAGCTGATTATCTAGTAGGTACTTTGTAGCAGAACCAAACAGAAACCAGGCCTCTGGATTGTGATTTAAGTTGATAATCCACTATGATCCTTGCTTTTAAATTTCAGTTTTTATCCATCTCACTCTGCCCCCATGAAGTGTATGGAAGGGCAAATTCACTGAGAGCTGCAAAGAAGCACCATACTAGTTTACACAGCACACAGTTATCCTAGATACTGTTTCTGACTGTGGTATTACTGAGCTCACTCAAATGGGGATTATGCCTAGATCATGGGCAAAATCAATCTCAAATTCTACCAGATAACAGGAAAGCAAAAAAGGGTAGAGCATTAAAAAAAAGTCCCTGCCTCACCTGCTGAGATCAGAGCTCGCTCCCTCCCCAGTCTCCACCACACACACACACACACAATTCAGAAAAAGCAGCTGAGAACAGCAAGTGATGACAAGAGCTACAGGGGGAGGGTGGCTGTATGAGGCAATGACAGGTCAGCTCTTGGCAATAATGATGATAGTTCAGCCTCACACAAAGATATTTCAAAAACTTAATAAGACCTGGAATTGATGATAAGGCAGGACTTATGACACAGCAGGTTAAGCCACTGCTTGGTACACCCACACCCCATATCTGAGTGCCTGAGTGCCCTATATCTGAGTATCCTGTCTCCACCTTCAAATCTATCTTCTTGCTAATGTGTACCCTGGCTGGGCCAGATCAAAACCAGGAGCTAGGAACTCAGACCAGATCTCCCACTTGGTGGGAGAGTAGTGATCCGACTACTTGTACTATCACCTGCTACCTCCCAGGGTCTGAATCATCAGGTATCAGATCAGAGCCGGGGCTAGAACACAGGCACTCCAATGTGGGACACAGGCATCTATCTTAACCACTACATGAAACACCTGCCCCATCCACTGGAAATTCTTAATCAGAATCTCGAGTGAGGCCAAAGTTTAGTGTACTTTTAGCAAGAGATCCTTGATGATGATTATCATGAGGGAGGTGTCCAGTGTTTTTTAAGTTCTCCAAATTCTAAACTTTTGTGATAAATTGTTTCCTCTGCTATTGCTCTCTCTTGTCCATTGTGTTCTTCCTATTTGACACTGCCCTTCCTCTGCTCCAGTGATGTGCAACAGAATCACTTTTTTTTAGAAAGCTTTGATTCAATAAATACAAATTTCATAGGTTTGTGTTTTTTTTAAAGATTTATTTATTTTATTTGAAAGTCAGAGTTACACAGAGAAGGAGAGAGAGAGGAGAGAGAGAGAGAGAGAGAGAAAGAAGTCTTCCATCCGCTGGTTCACTCCCCAGTTGGCCACAATGGCCAGAGCTGTGCCGATTTGGAGCCAGGAGCCAGGAGCTTCTTCCAGGTCTCCCACATGGGTACAGGGGCCCAAGCACTTGCGCCATCTTCTACTGCTTTCTCAGGCCATAGCAAAGCGCTGAATCAGAAGTGGAGCAGCCAAGTCTTGAACCGGCGCCCACATGGGATGTCGGCACTGCAGGCAGTGGCTTTACCCACTATGCCACAGCGCCAGCCCCAGGTACAGCTTTTGGAATACAGTGCTTCTTCCCTCCATACCTGCACTCCTACCCCCACTCCAGTCCCACCTCCTACTCCCTCTCCCATCCCATTCTTCATTAAGATTCATTTTTAATTATCTTTATATACAGAAAATCAACTCTGTACTAAGTAAAGATTTCAAATTTGCACCCAGACAAAGTATAAAGTACTGTTTGAAGGCAAGTTTTACTGTTAATTCTTATAGTACAGCTCATTAAGGACAGAGGTCCTACATGGGGAGCAAGTGCACAGTGACTTCTGTTGTTAACAATTGACACTCTTATTTATGATGTCAGTGATCACCCGAGGCTCTTGTCATGAGCTGCCAAGGCTATGGAAGCCTTTTAAGTCCACAAACTCTGTCAGTATTTAGACAGGGCCATATGCAAAGTGGAATTTCTCTCCTCCCTTCAGAGAAGAGTACATCCTTCTTTGATGGCCCTTTCTTTCCACTGGGATCCTATTCAACAGAGATCCTTTGTGTAGATCATTTTTTGCCACAGTGTCTTGGCTTTCCATGCCTGAAATGCTCTCATGGACTTTTCAGCCAGATTCGAATGACTTAAGGGCTGACAATCACTTTTAAAGGTTGTAAACATCCATGGGGACTTTGCAAAGCTCATGGAGGGGCTAGCATCCTTGTGCAGAATAAGCCACTGCCTGTGACACTCATGCCTGCTGACGGCATCCCATCTACTCCACCTGCGATCCAGCTTCCTGCTATGTGCTTGGGGAAGCAGTGGAACATGACCCAAGTGCTTGAGCCCCTGCCACCCAAGAGGGAGATCTGGATGGAATTCCAGGCTCCTGGTTTCAGCCTGGTCCAGCCCCAGCCATTGTGATAGTTTCGGGAGTGAACCAGATGATAGGAGATTCTCTCTCTCTCTCTCTCTCTCTCTCTCTCTCTCATTGTGTTTGTGGGTGTGGGTGTGGGTATGGGTGTGTGTCTCCCTCTTTATCTGTAACTCAGCCTTTGAAATAAATGAATAAATCTTTAAAAACAGTTTGTGTAAAGAGATATATTAAAAGATAAGTCTATTTTGGTGCAAAAAAAAGTACGAAACCCATGTATTATTTTTCACAACACATTTTCCATGAAGCGTTTGAAGACCTCTCACATAGGTATGGCTAAGTTGCTGACTAACAGATATCATCTGTTTTTTGATTCTACTGCTTTCCCAGGAGGGATCTTGCCTTTGGCACTTCACATCCCCTCTCTCCTTTTCTGCAATTAATCTTTGCTGTAGGAGGTGAAAGTTAATGATTGCATCAGTAGGATTCATTTTTTTTTTTAAGATTTATTTATTTATTTGAGGAGCAGAGTTACAGACAGAAAGAGGGAAAGAAAGAGAGAGGTATTCCATCTGCTGGTTTGATACAACAGCCGAAGCTGGGCCGATCTGAAGCCAGGAGCCATGAGCTTCTTCCAGATCTCTCACATGGGCGCAGGGGCCCAGGCACTTGGGTTGTCTTCCACTGTTTTCCCAGGCCTTTAGCAGAGAGCTGTATCAGAAGTGGAGCAGCTGGGACTCAAACTGGTGCCCATATGGGATGCGAGTACCACAGGCGGAGGTTAACCTACTACACCACAGCGCCGGCCCCAGCAGTGGGATTCTTTGTCCTCGGACTTCCAGGTAGATTTAGCCAATGGGAAGCAATAACAAGAGAGCAGAGAATGGGAGAAGAAAAATGTTGGGATATTTATGAAGGTATTTCAAAAGATTTGGAAAATGGTATTTAAAGATAAGTTTATTTTAGTGTAAAAAATTGAAAATCAATAATATGAGATTTCAAAAAAAGTTAATGGAAAATGTATATTGTAAAAACACTGCATGGATTCAAAGTTTTTGCCCCAAAATAAACTCATCTCTTAATTCCATTTTTCATGAGCTTTCAGAATCACCATTATACTAACATCTCTCCTTCCCATGCCTCTTACTGGATCACTGTGAGTTATCTGGGTCCCCACACTGTGTCCCACAGCCTCATCGGGAGACCCTCCCTTAAAGTCAGAGCAGAGCTTTCAGAGTTTCTTCAGGCCTATACTTGGTTATGGCTCCCCCACAATTTCTTACCTCATTATTACATGAGCCTTCGCAGATTCCTCTTAATTCCTTCCAAGTCTGCAAAAATTCCCTTCCTTAGCATTTTCTCAATAATCCTGTTTGAGTTTGATATCTCTTTGCCACCAGCACACTGGAACAACTTACCTTTATCTCTTCCATACATTAAGGGTGTTCTTACTAGACATAAAAATGATGAAAACAGCAGGTAGGAAGAGAAAGAATAGATTCCAGAGTTCAAGTGGACTTTAAATCATATCTCCTCCAGCTTACCCCTAATAGCTGGCATCTTCCATGATACAGCATCCCTTCATTCTGCTTCATCACTGCAACTTTTCAAATATTTGCTAGAAATTATCATTTTCTGCTCCGGGCTAAACTGTTCTGGTTTCTTCAACAATTCCTCATGCAGCATGAATTCTAGATCTTTCTCTGCCCTAGCCATTCGATACGTTCCTTTGGGTGCATTCTGTTCTGTCAAAGTAGTTGCTTCATGTTCAGAGAAGCCTTTGTGAGTAATCCAAATGTGGCCCAGAAGCTCACTCAGTTAGAAAAGAACCTAGTCCTCTTTGACAGAAAGATAGCCTGGGATGGGCAAGTGGAGACTGCAGGCATGGTTGTCAAATGTGACAGCTGATTTAAAGAGGGCAGGGCCTGCTTTGTCAGGAGGGGAAACAGGTGCATGGGTGGAGGCAGGACTTCCTGCTGAAGGGGAAGCACATAGCGCTCCTACACCTATTTGCATGATGCTTTCACTTTTGAATTTATATCTGACTTTTTCTTTTGTACATCTAGTTCTTTGGCCAGAAGGTAATTTGGTCATTCATGTAAAGTAGCTAACAGAGAAGCTACAGAAAAAGATATTCTCTTGCATGATGAGCCCTTCTAATTCCCATACGTAGTATCCAAGGACCTCAAAGCCACAGAATTTATTACTACCATAAACCCTAGGTTAATTATCTAATTCAGGCAAGCTGAAGGGTATAAAAGATGAGATTTTTGCCCCAAATTATGGAGAAATTCATTAATTGAGCCAGGAACACAATTGAATCTCTTTCCTTTCTACAATCCTGCCTTCCCAGTTAATTTATGCCATTCTTTTGACATAGATTACAAAACTGAAATGGAGACATTCATACTGTTAGTAGAAAGGCATCTAATTCAGAGAGAGGAAGCATGTGAATTGCACAATTACCTTGAAAGTGTTGAAGAAAGATATCTGTGTGTACATTACATTTGACACAACTTCAGAGGAGAAGCAAACCATCATTTTATTGAGAAGTTTCAACTCACATCAGAGTCTAAACCTTATAGCATGAAAGTGCTTTCAACTGGCAGTTTAAAAGTGATTTTTTTTGTTAATTTGCATTAAGTCCAGTCAATGTCTGTACAACTAACTGGTGGCTCTCACCTTAATCGAGTGAACAGAATAATTTCATTAAAAGGGAAAACTCCTGGACCAGGACCCTGAAAAGAAGGCTCACATTGTCAGGGTTGTGAGTTTAAATCTCCATCTTCTCAATTTAGAACCGGATGGGACCTCTGGATAACTTAACTCAACAAAATTTAGGGAGTGTATGATGTGCAAATTTACAAAGCAAAATTCAGACACGAATTTTAATCCTGTGTTCTTTTGTATGAACTATGCTTATTTCTTATGTGGCTATGATTTCCTTGTTTAATTGGTCTCAGAACAGACCATCAGATACTTGCATCTAGCATTTAATCAACATTACTGTAAGATTCAAGGCAAGCATCTCCTTTTTCAACTAAGAAGGGGAGGGGAGGAGAGTCACATAAATATTATCTTGAAAGTCTACTACGAATCCTTATGAATGCTTAGCAAAATGAGTTGAAGGATTCACAAACACACATACACACACACAAATAGAGAAAACATCGATGATTTTTAACCAGCTGATAGGAAAAAATGGTAATATTTTAGATGCCCTAACATAAAACAGCTTCTTATCGGCTATTCTGAGATCAGCTACATTGCAAGCTGTGAAGAGAACTCTTAATAGCCAAAGATAAGAAATGACCATGTGAGCCCAAGAAACCACTTCCCAATACTGAACATCAAGACTGTGGCAGATCAATAGGATAAAAGTAGTTAAAGTTACAGCAGATGCTGTTGAGAGTAGTGGAACTTCTTGTGCCTCAGATAATCCCGAACTGAGCGAGCTCATGCAATTCCAGGTGGCTGAAAGCCTCCCAGGGACAAATCACCGTGATATCTACAAGAGATGGAAGAAGAACAAGTAAACCAACTACACCGCAAGTCAAAGACATGCTCAGGCAGAGACACCTCATTCCTTTCTCCTGTTCCTTGGCCTTGTGACTGGGAAGTTATTGAATCTGTTGCCTAATTATTGAACCCAGGCATATGTGGTCTTCATTCTACATCCTCTCTTTGGAAGTTACCCATGGCTTTTGACTGGGGTACAACTCACTGACCATAGAGTCTCCCCAAAATATAACCACTAAGCATTAGAACAGAAGTGGAATTCTAGTCTGGCCCAGGACTGAAATGAGGACTAGGAGTGCTTTAAGTTCCCCTGGTCTGGGAATCTGTGATCTTACTCCCTTCCTATTCAAATGAGTTCTTTGTGTTTCTCTGACTTGCTGTTCAGTTTCTGTACACTTTGAAATACTCATATGTAATCAAACCCATCATTTGTTTTAGATAATAACATGTTATTCCCCAAGTCACAAAGAAGCTGACTGATACCAAGAGAGATTAAATCACTAGCAAAGCCATACAGTTGTAGAGATGGGACAAAAAACAGATTAAAGCCATCAGATCTTCCCTCATAATTTGTGTAAACTTCTTTACACTATTCCAAAGATGCTGGCAGAAGCAAGTCCAGAGACCGGAGCAAATTTGCTGGTCTAGATACGTCTGGGCCAACATACAAAATCAGTTGATCTAAGAAAAGCACATGAGCTGAATAAAGAGGCTTGAAAATTTATCTGAGCTCCCAGGGGTGCCATACATTCACAAATCAAATTCACCGAATTAGCCAGGTAAAGACATTTATGAATATGGTAGTTGACTTGAAAACTTATGTCTACACAAAAAACTGCACACAAATGTTTATGGTAACTTCATTCGTTATTGCCAAAACTTGGAAGCAACCAAGCTCTACCTCACCAGGATAAACAAATTACACCCACACAATGGAATATTATTCAACAATAAAAAGAAATGAACTGTCAAGCCATATGAAAACATGGAGGAACCCTAAATGAATGTTGATAAGTGACAGAGGTCAGTCCAGAAAGCCACCTACTGTACTATTATAACTAGATGACATTCTGGAAAAGGCAAAACTATACACAATAAAAAAAAATCAGTGGTTGTCAGGGGGAGGAGGAACATACATAAGTAGGCAGTGAAACTATTCTGTAGCATAGTGTAATGGTGGATAAATTACATAATGCATTTTCAAAACCCTCAGTTGTACATACAAGGAATAAACCCTAGTGTAAACTCCGACTTCTGTTAATACAATAATAATTTATCAATATCAGATCTTTTAAAAATAACAAATGTTCTACACTAATGATATAGGGTGTTAATAGTAGGAGAAACTGTGTACAGAGGGAGAGCAATGATAGAGAGGTAATATAGAAATTTTCTGCATTTTCTGCTTAAGTTTTCTGTAAGTCTAAAGCTATTCTAAAAAATAAAATCAATTAATTTTTTAAAAAAGTAATACACAGTGATTGAACTCATTATCCAACAAATGAAAACATTTTAACCTATGAAAAAAGCTGTATTGAATGTATTCAGTGTAGGCTCCTGGTCTGGGCTTGAGGATATGTAGAAAGAGGAAATCAGTAAGCAGGTGGCTTGCCTGGCAGAGGGGAAATGCTCTCCGGGTCCCACTCTTATTTCCAATACCTTACTCTGTAGCCTCATGTTAATTCCTCTAAGTCTCAGATTTCTCTTCAGAAAAATAAAGTTGGGCTAGATAAACTATGAGCAACTTGCTACCATAAATCCTACAATTACAGGCTCTCCCAGGTTGATCTGTTACACTTTGGGTCCTACCTTGATTTCTTTTAAGGTTTTTCTCTGGGCACACGTGTCCTTACTTAGGAATGTAAACTACATCCCCACATTTCTATGTCTTCAAAAATCTGCTGCCTTAGGTACTTCTTGTGGCTGTCAACTTCCCCATGAGGCTTAAAGTATATAACGAAGACAAAACTTCAAGTGCAAAGTTCTCATTTAAATCTGTGAGTGGCTCACCTGTTCCCAATCCCTCCATGCCTGGAATGTCATCTCCAAATCTATGAGAAAAAACAAAAGAGAAATGAGCTGAGATCATAGGCAATGGATCCTGGAGTTACAGAGCAACTCTTGGTTTAAAGAAAAAGAGGTTTTAGTGTTTGTATTTGAAAAACCTGTTTTATTTATAATGAAGTGGAGCAAAGAAAAGTCACTTAGTCAGGTTTTACCATGGCCCACTGGAGAGAGATTTCTCCCCTGTAGAAATCTAGCCTAAGTTCATTGAGAGCCAGAAGCAACTAGCAGTGAAACAATTTGGTCAAGCTTCACCTTCCAAACTAGAAATTTCAAAGAGAAGGTGATTAGAAAGGAATGAAAATGATGAACTTGTCCATCTTATCCATTTATTCACTTGCTCAAAAGTATTAATTAAGCATCTATTGTGTGTCAGGTGTGAGGCACAGAGAGTTAAGGGGAAAATAAATTCTCTCTGAAAGCTACTAATTTCAGAGAACAGATGTAAACAAATAAGCGTAACATAAAAGAATACAAGTTATGATAGCAATAGCTGAATACTATCTAGTGCAAACTTGAGAGTAAGAGAATCAGCAGTGACTTCAAAAAATTAAAATGTGGGCTGTGTGCTGAAAATCGATTAGGGTTTTGCCAAGGGAGGAAGAGAAAAATGAAAAACTGAAGACATAAGATTTGAAGTCATAAAAAAGCTGTGATTCTGGAAATGGCTCAGGGTCAGTATTCCAGATAAAGGGCAGGGTATTTTGACAAAAAGGAGTGACCCAAAACAAACAAACAAACAACACCTGGAAAGGCCAACACAAAGGATATTGTTGCCACATTGAATTTGGCCATAGAACTAGGAGCTGAGAGGGAAAAAGACACCAAGGCTAAAGACGATTCAGCAAAAACTGAGTTCAACTGGAAAGAAATTAATGGGGTGGAAATGTTTGTAAAGTTGCTTAATATGGTTAAGTGGTGAGCTTTAATTTCTCAAAACCAAAGCAACCCTGTGGTAAACAAATAATAGTCAAGTTTTCTTTTCCATCTTGGTCTTACCCTTTCACACCTTTCTTAGGCGGTTTGCTCTTGAACTGACGAGTCTGCCTCTGCTTGAACTTGGGTGGGCCTTTGCGCGGAGTGGTGGGACCCTGGGTTGAAGTTGGAGGAGCCAAAGCTGTGTTGTTGTCACTCATTTTGAAGTTCTTGGGTGGCTGTTTCCCTGTGAGGCTCCTAAGACAGTGGGAAAAAGAAATGAGCCTTAAATCCCAGGAACCTTGGATTATTAGACCTTCACATAAACTGGGGAAGAAAAGTACTTCGATAAAGCAGCTCAGAATTGTGTTGACACCAAAGGGGAAAAGTTACAATCTTTTAGAAGGATTTTTGAGAAAATATGATATGATTCAATGGAGACATTCAATATTGTGGGGAGTAAACTGACAATCAATAAATTAGAAAAAAAAACTCCAAAATCTAGGTAAATAAGTTCTTTCAATTAATCTGCCACTAGCGTTCTACCCAAAATGATCAGTGCTATACTCCTCTGTGGCCACTAGTTCTGCCATTTGTAAAGGGATGGAAATGACTCAATGGTATCTACAGTCTTACAGCACCTATGGGTTCTTTAAGTTTTACATTTTCTTCTATCCAGCTACAAAATAATGTGATTCCAAATGGTTATTGATTATTGACTGCCCCTAATAGTCCTTACTTAATTTAATCATCATGTGATTCAGAGACTTGGTTTTAATTTTTATTTCTTTGAGAGGCAGAGAGACAAATAAATAGAATGATCTCCCATTCTCTGGTTCACTACCCAAATATCCAGAATGGCTGAGGCTGGCCCAGCTGAAGCCAAGAATTCAATCCAGGTCTCCCCGGATGGCCAGGTCTCAAATACATGAGCTGTGACCAGGGCCTTCTAGGGTCAATATTAACAAGAAGTTGGGATCAGAGCCAGAGACACAAAAGTATCTGGGAAACAAACCCAGGTACTCCATGGTGTGATGCAGTGATGCAGGTATTTTAATCTGTGTTTTACCTCTATGTTCAATGTCTTCCCAATCCAGGGATTTTTTTTTTTTTTTTTCAGTTCTGCAGGGTAACATAGTCATCTGCATAGGAGAAGCTCTGGTCCAGGGTTGCCAACACCTAAGAATACATTTAGTGCATCCTAATACATACCTGCACATGCAAATAGAGAAGTCAATGTAGGACGATTAAGTAGTAAGTTTGTCCTGTAACTCCATTTCTCTGCCACCCATTTTTCAGAAATCGTCCATTTTCTTTTATCCAAAACATGTCTAGTATGGTATCCCCTAAACTTATGACAACTTGGCTGGCGCCGCAGCTCACTAGGCTAATCCTCCGCCTTGCGACGCCGGCACACTGGGTTCTAGTCCCGGTCGGGGCGCCAGATTCTGTCCCGGTTGCCCCTCTTCCAGGCCAGCTCTCTGCTGTGGCCCAGGAGTGCAGTGGAGGATGGCCCAAGTGCTTGGGCCCTGCACCCCATGGGAGACCAGGATAAGTACCTGGCTCCTGCCTTTGGATCAGCACGGTGCGCCAGTCGCAGCAGCGCGCCGGCCACGGCGGCCATTGGAGGGTGAACCAACGGCAAAAGGAAGACATTTCTCTCTGTCTCTCTCTCTCACTGTCCACTCTGCCTGTCAAAAAACAAAAAACAAAAAATAAATAAACTTATGACAACTTAAATGTGCACTGTGGGGGCCGGCGCTGTGGCGCACTAGGTTAATCCTCTGCCTGCAGCACCAGCATCCCATATGGGCACCGGATTCTGTCCCAGTTGCTCCTCTTCCTGTCCAGCTCTCTGCTGTGGCCTGGGGAGGCAGTGGGGGATGGCCCAAGTTCTTAGGCCCTGCACCCGCATGGGAGACCAGGAGAAGCACCTGGCTCCTGGCTTTGGATCAGCGTGGTGCGCTGACCATAGAGGCCATTTGGGGAGTGAACCAATGGAAGGAAGACCTTTCTCTCTCTCTCTCTCTCTCTCTCTCTCTCTCTCTGTAACTCTGTCAAAAAAATTTTTTTTTAAATCTTTAAAAATAAATAAATAAATGTGCACTGTGATTCTTCAAACACAAATCAAAGCAAATTATTAACAACAAAGATAAACTTTAAAATAAATACAATATGGCCGGCGCTGTGGCTCAATAGGCTAATCCTCCACCTAGCGGTGCCGGCACACTGGGTTCTAGTCCTGGTCAGGGCACCAGATTCTGTCCCGGTTGCCCCCCTTCCAGGCCAGCTCTCTGCTGTGGCCAGGGAGTGCAGTGGAGGATGGCCCAAGTGCTTGGGCCCTGCACCCCATGGGAGACCAGGATAAGTACCTGGCTCCTGCCATCGGATCAGCACAGTGCACCAGCCGCAGTGCGCCGGCCACGGCGGCCATTGGAGGGTGAACCAACGGCAAAAGGAAGACCTTTCTCTCTGTCTCTCTTACTGTCCACTCTGCCTGTCAATAAATAAATAAATAAATAAATAAATAAATACAATAAGCATTAGGATGACATATTTTTCTTTTCTCCCTTTCTTTGATAGCAATTGACAAAACGTATCCTGGGAAGGAAGATTCTGATAAGGTCTGAAGAGCTTCCAAATAGCCTTACTCCTGGTCCATTGCCTTTGTTAATCTCATGCCTGGGAGCTCTGCTTGCGGAAGGATTCTTTCACCCATCATAGTTATGCCAATATTCTTAGATTCAATCCTCCCTGACAAAAGCTGGCTCATACTAACCAGAGCTCTGTTTTCGTGCCACACTGTCATCCTTTCAAACTTCTATTGTTGACTCTGTGACAAAAAAGTATCCTACATGGAGGATCTCTGTGAGACCTCAGAAGAAAGAAAGGGTCATCAAAGAAGGAGACACCCTGCTCTGAAGGGAGAAGAGAACATCTACTTTGCTTATGGCCTCCGCTCCCATCCCACCTCCCATTCCCTCTCCCATCTCCTTCTTCATTATGGATCATTTTTAGTATGACCTTATAAACAGAGAACCAACTCTATGCTAATCATACACCAACAATTTGCCCCCACGCCCACACACAACATATAGAGTATAGTTTGGGGAAAGAATTTGCAGTCGATTCTCATATTATAATTCAATTGGGACAGAGGTCCTACCTGAGAAGCAAGTGCACAGTGACTACTGTTGTTCCTTTATCAATTAACTTTTTTTATGATGTCAGTGATCATCCGAGGCTCTTGCCATGGGCTGCCAACGCTATGGAAGCCTTTTGTGACCATAGACTCTGTCGGTATTTGGACACAGGGGGGTGTATGGGGGAAAGAACCACTATATTCCTAAAGTAGTATCTATGTAAAAATGCATTCATTAAATAAAAATGGAAAATAAAAAAACTTCTATTGCTTAACTTGAAGATCATAAATTTTCTTTATTACCTTAAAATCAAGTTTAAATTGTTATCATTGCCTCCAAGATATTTCTCCTTGTTTTCCCCATTTACTTTTTTTTTTTTTTTTTGGACAGGCAGAGTGGACAGTGAGAGAGAGAGACAGAGAGAAAGGTCTTCCTTTGCCGTTGGTTCACCCTCCAATGGCCGCCACGGCTGGCGCGCTGCGGCCAGCACACCCTGCTGATCCGATGGCAGGAGCCTGGTACTTATCCTGGTCTCCCATGGGGTGCAGGGCCCAAGTACTTGGGCCATCCTCCACTGCACTCCCGGGCCATAGCAGAGAGCTGGCCTGGAAGAGGGGCAACCGGGACAGAATCCGGCCCCCCGACCGGGACTAGAACCCAGTGTGCCTGCGCCGCAAGGCAGAGGATTAGCCTAGTGAGCCGTGGCACCAGCCCCATTTATTTTTCCATTCTCTCCTGCAAGTCCTCAGTGTTCAATGGAAATGCATCAACTAATCTATGAGGTGGGCGCAGGGACTGCACACCTTGCCAGGGTGCTATTTCACCTGTTCATGTGGTGAATCTTGTCTTCATCATCACTGGAATGTGCTCCATAGGGCTGTTTTTTGGATTTGGGGTTATTTCTGTAGTCTCAGAACCTGTAACTGTGCCCAATGCCGTAGGTGTGTCATATATTACTTAAATGAGTAATATATAAGTGAGTTGAATGAGTGGATAAGTTGATGAAAACAAACACCTTGAACTTGGGTCATGAGACCATGACCCTGTGACTTCTCCATCAGACCACAGAGAGGGCACCCACTAGTCTTCACCTCACAAAGCCCTCAGTGCCTTCAGGAAATGCCCTGCCAGCTCCTCTGCTCACTGAATACAATTCTTGTGCTATGGACCTCACTAGCCCTGGTCAACAAGCAAGGTTTGTGCTTCTCCGCCATGTGGTTGGGATCTTTAGAGGGCAGCCAAAAGCAGCATCATGCTCAGTGTCCCACCAGTAACAGATACATCCTAGCTCTGCTACAGTCAGAGAAGAAAACTGGAGAAATCCTCACAGATCAAGATTTTCATACATTGTAGTTCAATGTAGTGAGAAATCACAAACTTTTCTTTGGTCTTGTCTGTAGAGCCTACTAGGACTAAGATTTCCAGATTTAGCAAAAAAAAAAAAAAAAAGTCACTCAGTTAAATTTGAATTTCAGGTAAACAAAAAATGAATGATTTTCAGTAAAACTATATTCTGAATATTTCATGGTACATACTTATACTAAAAAATGTTACTTATCTGATATTCAAAATTTTTATCTGACAACCTGAACTACGATCTTATTACACTGAATCTAGAGTTCAATAATGTTGGAGCTAAAGTGAATCTCATCAGTCAATTTACAATTTGCAGTTTAAAGAGGAACCTCTTGGGAATAAAATAGACACAGTTTCAGATTCCTGCTCCATAAAATTAGCTATGTGACTTTAGATTCACTGCACACTCCTCTCTGGGCCTCATTTAATCTATAAAATCAATCAAATAATACCTTCCTTTTAGGGTTATAGGAAAGTTAAAGGAGATAACATAAGTAGAGTGGGGAAAAGTGCAATGCTATGTCTTCTGGGACTCAAGGCAGTCATAGATTAAATCTGTAGTGATGACATTTTCACCTGGACTCTGTACCTTCCTTCTCCTGGGCCAACAGGAGCCCCTGAAGAGCCCCTGTCATGAACCAGAGAGATAACTGTCATTAGCACTTGCCTGGTAATCCTCTGCTGCCCTCAAAGTCCCCAAATAGTCCAGTTCTCTGGCGTAATGGATTAAGCCATTGCCTGTGACGTGTGTGATGCCAG